ATGAATTTTATACCAGATGAAAGCCCGTCGAAAACGGGATTTATTGATGCTAAATAGTAAGTTTTATCAAAGCATTTTAGTGTCGAACTTAAGAAAGTTTTAGAAATTGTACACTGTTTTGGGGTAGTAAGGTAAGACGTCAATCGTTCCAATGCAGAATAAACATTTTTTCTTGAACATCTTTACATAGTTCGATAGAGCTCGTCGAGCTCTACAAACCTGTGAGCGTTGAAAAGTTGTTAAGTCACTTTTCCGAAACCAAAGATTCAAAAAAATACTTACAAAAACCTCGAAAAACGTTAAAAAAACTCATTTTTTAAACGCATGAGAAACATTCGATTTTTCAACGCAACTACCTTTTTTCGTTATTTGTACAAACACAGACGCTTCCAAATACACTTAGCAGATGCAGTGGAAAAAACTTCATCTAGTCAGCACATTTGGAAGCGTCTGTGTTTCCATGAATAACTGAATTCAACAAAATACTAAAAATAAATTGATTTAAACGCCCAGGAACAGCATCTATTTTAACACCTAAAGATGGAAGAGCCCAAGAATGTAACACATCATTTGATGTAATCAAAGCACGAATAAATTCTTGTGATGGTAATAAAACTCGATTGTCAACATCTAATAATCGAACAACACTATCTGGATCAATATAAGAGTCATACTCAAATTCAACATTCCTATCGATTTCATACCTTCAATATCACTGATGACCAATAACTTTTAAAGTACAAAGAAAATTAGTTCTATTTTCGTCAATCAAATACAAAAGATAAATTGAAGGGTAAACTAATAAAATTAAAACTACAATAGGTAAAACAGTCCAAATACTTTCAATCAAATGGTTAGCAACAATATTTGAAGAGTACTCTTTTCTAAAAAGAGAATAAACTAATAAATAACCAACCACCACCAAAATTATAACCACAATCATTATTAAATTATACACTATGTTACGACTTACTTTATAATAAAGCGGACGGGCGATATGTACTTTTAAAAAATAATTCAAATAATCAATTTTACTAATAAATTCATCATCCTGTTAAGTCAGTAATAAATAAACTGCAACTCATACACCCTAAAGAATAATTTATGTGTATCTGAATCATATTAATTTAACTTATAATCATCAAACATACAAAATTACAAATTTTTAGTAATACATCTAGTGGGAAATCTAATTAAAGTACAAGTTTCTTTATTTAATTTAAACCGCCAGTTATAAAAATTTTTAAAAACTCCTACACTTTTAATTAACAGGGACTACAAATAACGAAAAAAGGTAGTTGCGTTGAAAAATCGAATGTTTCTCATTCGTTAAAAAATGAGTTTTTTTAACGTTTTTCGAGGTTTTTGTAAGTACTTTTTTGAATCTTTGGTTTCGGAAAAGTGACTTAACAACTTTTCAACTCTCACAGGTTTGTAGATCGATCTTGCTACTACAGAAATGATGCAGATTTTTCGCGATGAGAACGTCCATATTTTCCATCTTAGTTTACAGAACCACTTGCTTTAGCTTTTCACCGGTGAGAAACATTTACCATTTGTATGTATTTGAGAAAAAGTAATTGTTTTACGAGTTTCATTGGTATCTTGTACAGCTAATGTGGCTCTGTCTGAAAATAAAAAGTGCACGTTGGAAGAGTACCTTAGTATATGCAGAGTAACTTTATCAACGCCAGTTATTGAATTTGAATATATTATAAGTGGACAAAAAATCTAATGAGATCTATAGATGTAGGAAGATGATTATTTTTGCAGTGACACGCTTGTGTGATTGAATGTAAGCCGGTAATAACTGCTTTAGAGGAGTTTGAAGTGAATAGTTGAGGAGTTGGAATTTTTTATAATGCTAAATCGACTAATACTCATTCTGTCTATGAGCAATGAGGTAGATAACATTTTCTTAATGCGTAGATTCTTTTGCGCGTGTGTATCTGTATTTTAATCTCCAAGAATCTTGAATAGTGTCATTTTCTAGCAATACAAACTTTTTTACTATCTGTAACTAGAATACAAAAAGAGATACACAATATGTATCGTTAATACCTGAATGAATATTTGACTGAATCTCATAGCATAATATATAGATATCTTTATTATCACTTTGAATATCTTTGAACGTTGCATCCTGCACATCAGCATCACTAATTTTTATCCATTTTTCATTAGATTTTTTCAAATATGAGTAATAATGTCCCTGATGACAGTTTACCACTTTATTAACAATAACAGCGTATAAATTATAACATATCTTGTTTGATCCTGTCGTTGATATGCTATGATGAACATATTCGTTGATGTCGATGTGTTCGACGATTTTGAGTTCTGACCTTCACATATTAGCGCGCTGTTTAACTGTAATCCAAATACGCGATCGATAGTAGACAAACTCTGAAGTACATCAGAAGAATTAGATGAAATTTGTGCGATATGTCGTTTGCATCTGGCGCAACTGGCACCATCTTCAATGAGTTTAGGAAACAACTTTTTCAGCAATTCATCGGAATCTTGTTGAATACTAGTAATAAAGGTAGGATCCAATACTTTCATTTCTTTAAAATAATCTTTCGGATTGATAGCTCCCGTTCAAGCTGGCGAACTTCATAGAAAAGTGCATCAACTTTGCACTGTAAGCATACTTTTGTGTCTAAAGAAAACGAAATCTATTTTTATAAAAAAGAGAGAAAAAATCCCATTCACATATTCTAGTAACACATGCACGCTGCACATTATCTAAAAGCACAGCGTTTTCTGTTCGATCATGTTCATTTTCGTTCAAGTCAGTTTTTGAGGGTCACAGTGTTGTAATATCAGATGTGCTTGCCATCATTTGTAGAGCTGAGTTAAAATAACATGTATTTCCTAAATTAATCAGTCCTCGATGATATTTTCGATTGACCAACGGTAATTGCTGCGAGAGAGCTGAAAAAAACATCTAAATTTTCTACCTTCCTTGCCATTACATTTAAGCTGGGTCTCCTCTCAAAAAATTTGCGTATAGTTTGTTAGTTTCTAGAACACATCAGGTTACACATATTCTAAACATTTAAAATTTTTATGACAAATTCTAGAAGAGTTATGAAATGTTTAAATTAAATTTAGAAAAGATTAAAAAGTCGGTTAATAATTCTAAAAAAATTAAAAATTGAAAAACAAGCTCAGATTTTAGCTAAATTAGATAGAGCACGTCCTAAAACGTATATTTTGAAGGTTTCAGCTTTTCAAAATCAATTATTTCAAGTTATATCAAGTTTTTGATGTGAAAAAGGTTTTTATTGTTATCGAACTACAAAAAAATTAGATTTTATTAAATTGAAAAACAATTGAATATTTTCTGTTCCGTAATAATAAAAAGTTTTTTGAACAGGGTACATAACTCATTATGCTGCAGTTTTTTACTGTAGAGCAATGTCTGAAAGTGCTTCCTTCGAGAGATTTATTCAGTAATACGAAAATTTGCTGTTCAATAGCCACTATTTGGATACATTTAAGGTTAAAAATTTATGAACGTGAAATAATTGATTTTGAAAAGCTGAAATCTTCAGAATATAGGTTTTAGGACGTGCTCTAAAATCTGAGCTTGCTTTTCAATTTTTAATTTTTTAGAATTATTAACCGACTTTTTAATCTTTTCTAAATTTAACTTAAACATTTCATAGCTCCTCTAGAACTTATTATAAAAATTTTAAATGTTTAGAATATGTGTAATCTGATGTGTTCTAGAAACTAACAAGCTATACGCAAATTTTTTGGGAGAGGACCCAGCTTAAATGAAAAATTTCTACCGCTTTGATTAGTTGATTTGTATTGTGCTATATATATATAAATCAATTTTTTTTTCTCGCAAAAATCAAAAGAACTGGATATGTAAAACTTCTCTGAATATTCTCAGCCTTCGATAAGTTAAGGTGGCGTAGATACATTAATATAGTAAATAAGGTAAGGCAAAATAAGGGAAGAGGAAGTTCTGAATTCTCATGTTTACTATGGTCGGCTAGTATCAGGAAGGAATGTAAATTGTTCTTTCTCTCATAAATTTTCTTCTTTCATGAACCAAAAAGACGCCCTTCACTGAACTTTTAAATCGACCTAAAGTTTATGAAGCCTCGAAGAATTTTCTAATATTAGACACGGAGAAATGCATATAAATAAAAATCTTTTTCTTAAGAAGCTCTTTCAAGCATTGTCAGTTTGAATCGCGGCAAAAGCAGAGAAAGCTCAAGAGTACGATTTCCACTCGAATTATATGAAATCGCATGACACACGAAGGCGTACGATTTTTACGAAACAATTTTGTACGAATCATGCTGCACGATTTCGTACAAAACACCTGACCGTGGTATAATCAGATCCGTACCAAAATCGTACTATAAGAAATCATAGGATCCTATATAGAGTATTTGAGAAATTGTATCTTAGAGTATTGTAGTATTTAAGCATTTCTCAAATACTCTATATATACAAATAAGAAGAACATTAACAAAAGAAACCGATAATATATCGAAAAGGCATAAAAATGGAAACATCAAAATAAAATTAAACCAAAATTTTGTGCTTTTTTTTCTCACTGGGAAAGTTAACAACACTCGTAAATCATGTAATTATTTTAACGCAAAAAGAGCTTTTAGTATTATCAGTAACTTTCTTTATGACGCTAATAAAATTTATTCGAGGCAACCTCAGGACTCGATAAAATATTGGAATAAAGTCGTATTTAAGCTCCCAGTGCCATAATGCTTGATTGTAATATATTCTATATACCTGTAAAGTCCACAGATTCATTCAGATTTTATGAAGTATTTTATAGAGTCTTGAAGAGAAATCCAAGGTTACCTCGATTAAGTGTTAGTAGACCCATAAAGAAAGATACTGATAATACTAAAAGAAAAGTTTCGTAAAAATGTCAATATTAAGCAAAGGACATTATTGGATAGCTGACGATGTCTGCTGTCATAATCTTCATCCACGGTTTCTGCGGATTTTTCAGAAAGTCTTTAGGAAGCACTGAAAAACAATCATTTCGACTAACTGTGTGTTATCAATACAAATTCGAGAGTAAAAGTAGTTCAAAAGTGACTAGTTTGTAGACTAGCTTAGTTTGTGACTAGCTTTTTTTCTTAAACTGACAATTAATGACATTTCCAGATATTATCGGTTTCTTTTGTTATATGTATACGTATACACGCAATTTATTTTGGTAGATGAGTTTATTAAAATTGTCCTTACAATTTACGATTAAATGCATAATTAAGAAAAAGTATGATAATATTCTTCTTATTTGTATATATAGAGTATGGTAGTATTTAAGCATTTCTCAACTATTCCGAAATATTAAACAAGACAATATCATAGTAAGTCAGTACTATGTTTTATTGTTAGTAATGGGTATATGCGTTTTTTGATCAATACTACTCAGTTGAGCACCAGATATCTGTAATTGTTTTGGAAGAATACAATCTAATATTTCTTTTATATTAGATTCTTCTGAGATTATTCCTGTATTTCACTCTTACCCAACATTCTATTTTATAATGAGCTTTTTT